TCAGTCACTAGTAAATACCAATGTAAAAACATTATTGGTGATTAAGGATGTAGCTCAGTTGAATAGCACTTGCCTAGCATGTGCAAGGCCCTGAGCTCAATTCCTGACACTACAAACACACCCAGAAAATTATTGGCCACAATCCAAGAGCACAAAGCATTCAAAGACAGAATCCAACTAAAAAAACAGAAATTTAGTATTTATGCAGGGTATTGGTTATGTTAATTAGCTCAATTGTGTTCATTTCACAATATAAGTAGAATCTGTTTTATGCTTAATTTTAGTTTGTTGTTTTTAAGAAAGCTAAAGGGAAAGGGGAGGAGAGCAGATTTAAGAGACTTAAGAGTCACAATAAATTTCCTGATTGGAAATAGAGGGATCAAATCCCTTTGGCAGCTTTCCATCATTGCCTCCTCATCCCTTCCACCTTCCCATCCACTGAGCTCCAACCAAACCATCTGAAAATCCCCAATCATAGCACTGATCTTCGTTAAATAATCCTCAGAAGGCCTGAGGTCTGGAAAACTGTTCTTATAGTAGGAACACGGCTCTAAGAGATCCAGGGTAGCACCCAACATAAAAGCCCCTCTTTGGATAGACTGAAGGCCCTCTTTCTCCACTATGGACCTTGATTCCAAGAGCAGTTCGCAGATGCCCCTGCTGCTGAATGAGCTCCGGGAACAGGAGCAGATCTCAGAGACAAGTGGGTGCATATCGTGCTACAGATGTGGGCCTGACAATTCTGATAGCTTGTCTTAGCCGTGAGCCAGGCCAGCTGGTCTCTTACTGATTGGGACACTGCCTTAGAAATACGCCTGCCTTTTATCTTCTAATGTGTTACAATTCACCCTTTTGTTGTTATGGAATATCCAGGAGCATAGGAGGCCGATAACCCTTCATGGTGTGACATCTGTTTGAAATGAGCAAAGACTCAGACCTGAAGTCTCCATACTTCATCTTGAAGGCAACCACGCACAATCTCCTTCCTGCCTTTTGTAGGGCTTTCTTTCGTCAGTGGTAAACAAATCAAAAATGGTTAATGGTGTAAACATCCTAAATGGTAAATAATCTTTACCAAAAGTGACATACAAAATAAGTATTCATCCTTGGTCTGAAGACTGATATCCTTGTTGATGGATGCAAAGCAAGTTGGAAAACATACATATCTGTTTTAAATATCCATGACGCTTGATGAAAGCTCGCCTTCAGCTAAGTTCAAGAGAAAATACAGACTCCGTTTCTTGTGCTCGTGTTGGTCTGTCTTTTTGGAGTCAAAGCACAGAAAGTATCAAGTCTAAGGATCAATCTTTGATGTGAGGACAAAGAGAAGATGTTTGTAACTCTTTCAGGCCAAAATGTACCTTCCTCAAAGAGAAACTGCTTTCAACAACTATTACAGGTAGAAATGTAAGCTCTACTCCCAGTTCTTCTCTCTTGTCAACACAATGACTACTTTGAACCTAAAAACTGAAGTGAAGTACAGGGATAACTCTTTGTGAAGGGCAAAACGTGTACCAGGGATGTTATGTGCTCAGCATCATTTAGTTCACTCAACAGGACTCCCATCCAGGTGGACTTATTCCATCATACAGAAAATGACATTGAGTTTCAGGAAAGTGAAGGGCACCTGCCTAAAGCCATAGTATCTGTAAGCAGTAAAGAGTCAGATCAGCTTTATGTGACTTTGAATCCTGCATTCATAGCTGCTCCATGCACCATGAATTAGTATCAAGACTCACTTGAGTAGGGATGCCCAAGGCACAGGGCAAAGATTTAAAGAAAAACCTTGTGCACAACTGGGAACTAGAAAAGTATTGTGCTTTGAAAGCACTGCTGAGTGCTAGACCCCTGGGGAACACTTATGGTATCCATAAGCCCCTTTGCACCCCCCAAAATAATGCAAAATGCAGGAAGTCTCAAGAGCTCTAATAATGCCCAGTTACCTCCACAGATAATTTCAATCCACTAATTCTCCAAAAAGAAAGCTGAAGTGAGCTGGGGAGATGGCTTAGTGGTTAAGAGCACTGGCTGCTCTTGCAGAGGACCCAGGTTCAGTTCCCAGCACCCACATGGCAGTTAACAACCATCTGTAATTCCAGTTCCAGGGGGATCTGACACCCTCTTCTGACCACCACAGGCATTGCACAATACAGGTGCACTTACATACATGCAGGCAATATACTCATGCACATAAAATAAAAATAAATAATTTTTTCAAAAAAGAAAGCTGAAGAAGCCAGTTTCAAAAGGCTACACATTGTGTTATTCGATGTTCATGACCTTCTGATAAAAAATTAAGCTATGGTGCAGGTGCAGCACACATGTTAGTGGTACGGAGGCTGAAGGGTGGAGCAGGGATTGACAGCAAAGGGTTTGAGAAATATTTTAAACTATGATGTTTTATTTCTAATTGTGGTAGACTTTATTTAACTATCCATTTGTCAAAACTCATTGAATTCTACATTAAAACCTGCAAAAATTTACACATAAATTACATTTCAGTAAGCCATATTTAAAGATATGTGCATATAGGAGACTATGGAGATCAGTTAGTAAGTGCTTGTTATACAGGTAGGAGGACCTCAGTTGATCCCCAGCACCAATGTAAAAAGCTGAGTGTAGTGGTACACACTTGCGGTCCCAGTGCTGGAGAGGCAGGGACAGGCAGACCCCTGGGGTTGCTGTCCACCCAACCCAGCCTAATCAGCAGCACCCAGTTCCCAGTTAGAAGCCCCATCTTAAAAAAAACAAGGTGAACAGCTACTGAGGAACAACATCCAAAATGGAGCTCTGGCCTCCATATGCAGATGTACATGTACATGTACCCACACACATGCATGCACCTGTGCACACACAAACATACACACACATCCAAAATAAAAATCTTTTTAATTATATATATATATATAATGTTTCAAACAGACAGTAGTTGATAAATCTTTAGCTAAGACTTCCATTGTTTAACTTCACTGCAGCAAATCCATGAGTCCGAATCCCTCCAGCATTCAGCCTTCCCAGGGGGGATATTTTCTGCAGGCATCTACTGCAAGCTGATGCACCATGGGCAGTAGGGAGGAGGTTCTGAAGGGAATTTTCAGAGAAACACTTCTGTAGCAGTTCAAATGAGAAGTTGATTGCTACGGTTACCTTGGCTTCCTGCCTCTTTTCCAGAATCTTCAGAGGTCATACTGTGCACTTTACAGAAACAGTCATCTGGAAAATTGCCTTAAGCCAGATTAAGTATAATGTCACTGTTTTTAGCCTGTATTTCACATGGCATCCATGTCTTTCTCTTCATACTGTGTTGCATTTTGAAGGCCATACCTGTCTCTATGATGAGCATTGAAAAGATATGGGAAAAAAAAAACTTGCTAAAAATATCAAATACTGTAGCTCCCAGTTGCCTGGAAAACCTTGACATGGCTTTCAAATGAGCATTTTAGTAAGAATAACTACACTGGCCTGAGCTCACTGTCCTTCCATCTCAGGTTACATGTCCTGTACTCATTCTCATTGGTCAAGGTATTTCTCTTCCTAATGCAGTCTTAGTCCCTTTGTTTTCTGTCTAAGGCCTCTTGTTTGAGAAAGATCTGGTGGTTTTTCTGATCCATTAATAGTACAATTGGAAAAGGAACATGAGCCACACAAATATAGTCTAGCTTTGAAAATAATCAGGTCAGTCATGCAAATTAATAAGCACATAAGGTCACAGCCCTGAAGACAATGGGGCAGACTCAGATGATAAAAGCTGCCAGAAAGAATGGATTTCAAAGGGAAGTGAGCACCACAGAGCCAGTCCAACTTTGGAGTCTTTTTGAAAGTCATTCCTATTTCTGTTAGCATGTAATTTTCTGACCACAGGTGTTTGGGAGGTAGACATGGTCCATATCTCACAGGAAGATATGGCCACTACACTAAGAATTTGTATGTTTAATTTTTATAACTAAAAACAGTAAATAAAAACAAAAGAAGACCCCTTTAAAACACACTTCAATCATTTATTTTAGAAAGAGGAATACAGCATTTAAAGATTAGTACTTGAACACCAAGGGAAATTAGCTAAGAACAGGTGATAAAGCCCATCCCAAACCACAGCAGCACCTACACTTACCAGGGTCTCAACTACTGCACTGACAAACCAGATGCTCCAAGTCGCTTTTATAGATCTCTTTTTAGAAAAAAAAAATTTTTTACTTTCTTACAAATTCCAGGTTTAAAGACAAAAATTACACAAGACAAATGGTACAACTTAGGGCAAGTCTCACATATGTTCCAAGGTCTTTGTTATACAATTAGAAATATTACAATTTTATCACTGTCAACTGATTTTCTTAGAGTTATGTCAATTAAATTTCACGACAAAACAAAAGAAAATTAACTTTATCTTATTTCTGATCTGTGCCATAGAAAACTAGTTAATGTTTAAGAATAAACATAACTAATAGAAAAATAGAATTGGTTGGTAGGTCTGCTTCTAATCTTAAAAGCTACCCGAATTATGAGGTAGCGAGGTCTACTGAGTTATATAAGTAGAGAATGAGAAAAAAAGAAAACCAAGTGCATAATCTGAAAATCCTGCCAAGACTGATGTGCAGTGTGCAATTTAATGTACAAAAGGACTTTTATCCAGAAACTCAGAGTGCCTAATACACTTAATATAACATGCCAAGTTTACCTCTCTGGTATGCACAAAGCATCCTTCCAGGAGCTAGTGAGAAAAAACAAAATTGGAGATTTGGTCCTTCATGAATCTTCTGATGATAATCTATATAATTAAGTCCCAGATTCCTTTCAGGCATAGACAAATTAATGGGGCTACATAGTCAAGAACTGGTCAGCATGCAAATTTTCCTTTACAAAGAATCCCCAGAATTCAAACTGAATTCTTTTTGAGTTCCACAGTAGCCCTTAACAGGGATAACAGAGAATATGGGCTCCAGTGGGGGGTGCTATGGGAGAGTGCCAGATGGGGGTATAAAGATGATTAAGATTGTTTGAGATGTTCTGTATGATATTCACAAAAATTCAATAAAAATAAAATTTTTTAAAAATTATAAAATGTAAAAAAAGTTCTTTAATTTCAACATGTCACTAGACTATACATTTCATTAGAATCATAGTGCCCCCTAACCTCTGACAGCTCCACTGTGAAAGGACATTATTTCAGTTGCTAAATGCATCCAAAGAGGCAGATAGTTCCCAAGAGAACTCATCAAACTGAGGCAAATATCCTAGGCATCTAGTGTGACAGAATTCTCTACTAAATATCACTTCTACAAATATATACATTCGTAGATTCCCCTGCATATGTCTAAACAAATGAGAAGACCGTTTTCAACAAATAGTCTATTGCCCCTTCAGTCTAATAATCAGACAGTTCTCTGGGGCTTCTGTAGGAAGATAAGATCATAAGTCAGAAGATAGCCATCATTGTAGACATAAAGCTTTTGGTCAAAAGGATGATAGTTAATGCTCTGGATTGTTTCCTGCATCTTTCTTATTGTGATGGCTAGATTGCCTTCCCTCCCTGTGTTTGTGTCATAGTAGTAAAAAATTTCTTCTGCTCTGGTGTTCAAAGTGCGGGTGGCATAGAGAACGCCACATACAATGAAGGCATTAGAAACAGATGGTTTGTACTGCTTGGTAACCCAAGTGTTTAGCACCTCAAGGGAGGTGTCATTGAGTTTACTAATCACTATGTTACCAGTGCTGGCTTCTGTTGCATGAATCACCCACAGTCCTTGCTCATCCACAGCAAGGTCAATATCTTGCCAACCCACATTAGCATATGAAAAACGGTTATTATAAACAGCACTAGGAAGACGTTGATTTATATCAACTTTGTTGGTGTTCAAATTAATTTTGGCAATGTTCCCACTGCCGTACCAATTGACATACAGGCTGTTGTTGTATGCTACTGTACCACCCCCTTGGCCATAGGCAATTCGATATTCTTGAGTATGCGAATAGAGTAGCAAATCATCCAGTGTGTTGTAAAGTCTGTAATATTCCAGCAACTTCCCATCTGTATTCAAGGGTGCTACCCAGTAAAGCGTTCTCTCTGGCTGCTGGGGAGAGTAATCCCGACCCCAGGCACCATATTTATAGGAAAACCCTCTCCAGTTGAGTTGAATCACAGAGGGACTGCTGATGTTCACCACACCGCCATGACTACAGCTTCCTATAAAACAAGAAAAATTTAGAAAATATTCTTAGATAAAATGAATGATAAGCAATTTAATATCTTAAGAACCAAAAATAACTCATCATTTTTTCCTGTCATGGTTCAATGGCAATGGTGGCTCCAGTGGAGAAGAGGCAAACCTCCTTTGGTTTGGCCTCCCTGTGAATCCACTGTCAGAGCTACAGAGAACTGCCTTATGTTTCTACCAGTGGGCTTTCAGTATGGAAAATGGCTGTAATAGCACCACATAAAGCCATATTTACAAATTTGAGAGTTAAGAAAGAGAAAAGGGAAGACTCGAGATTTCATATATTTTCTTCTACCAGAAAGCATTTTGCAAGTATAAATTTTTCATAGAGAAATAAAGAAAATGATGTCATTCTAGAATCATACCCTTTTTCCATAAAGCCAAAGGTGCTAGCTATTTGCCAGGGTCAGCCCTGGGGGAAGACTGTGATGAAGAAACACAGTCTTGAGGGAGTCTTCCTACATTCCCTGGGGCCCCAAGTGCACATCTACAGCCAGTACCAATCCTGCTCCAGGCTAATCTCAAGAGGAAGTTTTAAACACAACATTTCATATAGATCCAGAAAGATGTTACCACAATGATGGAATTTCAGCCAAATGATGTTATTTTAGCCATAGAGGCACCTAATCTATGCCCACACATAGGCCATCACACAAATCATTTGATGGCCGTCTTGCCTCAGGGTTACAAGGTGAGCCCTGCTGTTCATAACCCATGTACTTCTGGGCCGTAGAATAGCAGGCAAGTATTTCATCCTTCTTATTCTGAAACAGACATTGTCACAATGCATATAATCAAGTGGGACCAGATACACTGATCCTCTGAATCTTCATTTCATGTAACTCTTGGATAAATGACTCAGGCTGGGCAACTGGCCCTTTGCATTGCATGCCCTCTAAAACGCCTGCCAACCTGAAGCATTTATGAGCTGTAAAAAATGAAATAAAAGAAATAAAATTCCTCCAGCATTTTTATAACATCTATCCAAAGGGTTGAGCACGTATTTTCTAGGACCTTGGCAAATATTCTTTTTGAAAAAAAAAAAATAGTGATTCTTTATTGGCTAGCAAAGAAAATCTAACTTCAAGTACATTTAAAGTCATTTTCCCTCATCCTGTTGCTCAGACCAGGGCAGGTGAGTGAAGGAAGTAACTGAACATGAACACGGTATCTGGCTTCAAGTGCTTAGAGGGAAGGAATCAAGGAGCATGGAGGGCACAGGAGTGAACTGGAGTCCAAAGCAGAGCTTTGTAGAACTGCCTAAGATTAGCACTATGAGGAAAGGGGAGGCAAGTGACTGCCCCTGTCCAAGATGGAAAGACCAATCCTCTCCTTGCTAAATGCCTCTCTCTCCTCCTTACTCAAGGACTGCTTAGAGGTAAAGCCATTACTAAAAATCCTGCTCTACTTTTCCAATCTGCCAGGACTTTTCAGTCCCAGAATTAAATACATGCTTCTTAAATGCTCTTATAAATCCACAGTCGGTGGGAAAGCCAGCCAACCATACAACAGGTATAGAGAAATAAAATCACACTGTACCCAACCTCAAATAATTTTGCATATCATTAAACAGAACACAGTCACAGGTTTATTTTAATAATGCATGCACCATTTCATAAATAAAAAAGCAACGTGTGTTCAGCCAAGAGACTGCTCTGCACTAAAGAAATAATAAATAAAATTATAAATTATTATTTCTTCCCCTAAAAGTGATCTCTCAGATGAATGCTTGTTTGCTTTTGTTTATGAAACAATGCATGAATTATTAAAATAAAGTTAGTGGTGTGCTCAGCTTAATGATAACAAAAACTGTTCCAGTTTCCACATGCTATAAACTGGATTTCCTGGTTAAAATATCTTCTGGAGAGCTTATTTATTCAACTACATTTCACTCTGAGGAAATGTAAGTCACTACTTGTCTTTCAGGTTGGAAGACTTAAAAATTGTTTGCTTCATTGAGTCTTACCTTCCTGGAAAGAAAATATCCCAAACCAACAGTAACACCATATTTCAGAAAAATTCATGATGCATATAACTTATCCAAGCATTATCAGGGGCTTAAAGATAAACCATCCTGTCTGCAGATGTGGAAATCTTTAGATATGGAAGAACCAAAATAAACTTCTCAAATTATGACTTCTGCTACTATTAGAACAATAATATTACTTTTGATAATACTACTAATATTGTTACTACTTATGATAATAATGGTTTATCATCTCCTGAGTTGACTAGAAAATTTAAAGTGTGCCAGTTATAAGCATTAACATTGAATGATACTTTGTTCTCTTTTCCTTGTCTCCTAATCCTCCCTAAATACTCTCTAGACCATTTTGTCACTCTCCTTTGATCTGCTAACCCCTTTGGATATTTTTAGGCTCTAGGTGTGATCAAAAGGAATACAAATTGTGAAAAATAACAAAGTGCTGTTGTCAGTACTGCACTGAAAAGGCTATGGTAGGCTTCCCCAAGCTGGAAGCAAATCAACAAGGAAACTACCAAACAGACAGTCATCCTGGAGCCACTACTCAGCAGAATGCTCATCTTGCCCTCCCACCTATCCTGAGCTGTCAAGGTCTTCAATATATCACATTCCGTTCTTACCCATTTCCCATCCCAATTTCATCAGAACTCTTCAGTAATAACCCATTGTCCAGTCATGATCCAAGGACTGTCAAAGACCAATGAATCACTGTACATTTGCTGGTGGAAGAGAACAAAGCACCAAACTTTCAGGAGTCAAAGTATCCTTTTAGCTACTCCATAAGCAAGGAAGCAAAGATAAATGAGTTTATCAGGTGGGCACACTATGGGAACTGTCTTGTCATTCTAGAAATCATAGAGTCACCTCTGTTAGAGCAGGTATGGAGCAGCCTGATGCAGAGAAAATATTATCAGATAGGGCTGACTGGGGTGGTGTATGCCTTTAATCCCAGCACTCGGGAGACAGAGACAGGGAAACCTCTGTGAGATCAAGGCCAGTCTGGTCCACATACAAGTTCCAGGCCAGCTGAGGTTACAGGGAGACCCTGTCTGATAGGTTCCAGTCCAAATCCTGATTCCAGTATTTAGTAACTGTGTATCTCTGAGCAAGTTACTTAATCTCCTGAGCCTCAGTTTCCTTATGTTAAAAATAAAAATACCTGCCCAGCAAGACTATTGAAAGGAATAGAGAGAAAGCTTGTAAATGCAAGTCAATCAATGGTAACTATCATAATCACATCACTCTATAAGTTTTGTTTTACATGACTATCCCCCTTCCTGCATAGTGGCTTCTGGAGTTTTCTTTGCATATCCTGGTAGCCCAAGTATCCAGAAGAGGGCTAGCCACATAAGGGAATAAAGGAACAAAAGCCTAATCAAATCACTTAAACTCAGCTTCTCATTTGCAAAGCACCAGCCGTTCACCCTGCTATACAGGTGATTTTTCAAAGAGCCTGATATTCACTCTACAGAATGTAGTACAAAGAACTCTCTGTACAAGTATGGTTTTAGTTGGCAGTATCTTCGTCATGCAATTCATTCACAACTACTCCGGTATTGTGAAAATATCTAGGGAAGTCACAGTCATGAGACTTAAAATGTGGCTTTTCAAACTTTTTAAACTAATACAGTGGACTTTTAGGTCAAATGCTGGTGTAACTGCAGAGGAAATGTAATCTTGAGCCTATCAATGCAATTTCTCACCTGGACAACTAAATTTCATTTGAACTAAGAAGAGAGATAAAATGATCACTTGAAAGAATTAGGCAATTAAGCAAGGCATTAGTGGCTCACGATTATAATCCCAGTACTCAGGAGGCTGAGGCAATAGGTTTGCCATGCATGCCAGGACAGTCTGGGCTACAGAGTAAGGCACTGTCTCAGATAATAAACAAACAGACAAACAAATAAATAATAATTAGGCAATTTAAATGACAATAATCATAAGATTATTAGTATTAAATTGATCCTCAGTCATTAGATATACTCACAACACTCTATGCTTCTCTAAGCTTAGGATTTTAGCAGGTCCACCCATGTTTATCAAATCCCATTCAATCACCAACCATTTACTGAGCACCTGCCGTGTGCCCACAGACCCTAAAATCCATAAGCAAAATGGCAACCCCTGAAAATTCTCATCAAATTTTGCCAATATATTGTCACTTAGATTCAGAGAAAGAAACCGAAAGAGTGAAGTCTGTTGTTTAACGGGGGAAAAGTTAATGAATAGAAAACCAATTATTTTAAACTAGAAAGTTCTATGAAATGAAGCAGAAAAGGCTATTATTTGCTACCAAATACTATATAAAGGGCATTTTATTAAGCCCAAATACATGCATTGGGGTCTAAGTTCAAGCTGACCACTAGGTTAGGTTAGCAAACTGCAGCTGCAAGGGAGGAGCCCCCAGAGCACAGACCTGCTATAGAGCTGAGACTTGCACAGTCTTTTTTGTTCTGTGTAACTCTGCAGTGAAAAAAGCAGACAGGCCAGATTTTAAAGTCCCATAATAGTGAGTAACTTTAATTAAAGTCTCCACAGGCTCACAACTTTGTGGTGCCTGGGGATTTTCCAATTCTGCATTATCAACCAATCCAAACATAAAGAGAGCAAGTGAAAGAAATTGATTTAAAAACATGACAAAAAGCCAGTGTAATATAAACATTATAAATATAATATGAACAAAGCTGGAGGAGGGCCAAGTGGCTTGGCAGGGGTCCAGGTGCATCCAAGGTTGTGGGAAAGTGAGTGGAAATCTGGGTTCAATTTGCTTAAACTACACAGCTGGGCTGAGACAGTTCATAGAAGTGTGAAGGCCTAAGGGAAAGTTCTGCAAATTCTTCCAGCGAAAATAATCCAAAAGGTCACTCACTTTCTTCCCTAAATGCTAAGCAGTGGATTTTCTCTCCCACTACCATCTTTAGGTGACTGACACTTGACATTCTTTTATGTTAGGGAATCCTGAGGTGACCAGGGAGTGAAGACCTTTGTACTGCAGTGTCAGCTCTACCACTGACCACCTGTGTGTCTTTAAGAAAAGTGGAATCCTTGTGACTCAAGTCCTCTCCTTGAAGGTATCAAGGAGCTAAGTTAGGTAGCCCTGGATGTTCCTTCTTGTTCTCAAATGTCCTCAATTGTAACTGATACATAGAAAATTTTGCAAGGAAGGAAAATTTTGCAAGGAAATAATTTGCTGGGGATGCTTGCTCAACTTTATCACATTGCTTTGGTGACTCCTGCTTTAATCAGCTCTTATGGTCTAATAAAGCCAGCTCCCATCTCTAATGCATGTTTTTTAATAATTTATTGAGAATTTCATACATGCATATAAGGTGTTTTGATCAAATCCATGCCCACTCCCTCCCCTACAGCTCCTCCCATATCTCCCTATCACTTTTTTTCTGATTTCATATACTCTTTCTTCTTCTTTTATTTATTTATTTATTTTCCATGTTTGTAACATTGATCCCAGACCAATTCAGCTTTCATCTCAGAAGATAGACTATAATCTTTGCCCTAAACATTTTCTGTAAGTCAAACAAGAAATGACCTTTGACTGTAGGTAGAGGGAAGTGTCTTCTGAATATCAAGACTGAGAAGCTTATAACTATGGCCATATCTAATTAAAACCTCAAAGATATCAGCTACAAAGATGCAGAGATGGTTCAGTGGTTAAGAGCCCTCATCTGGCTTCATGGGTATTGCGCGCATGGGTGCACTTACAAACATGCATACAAAACACTCATACACATAAAATAAAAAATATATTTAAAAAATAATTGAGCTACATTGACAAGGTCCCAGAAATGTACAGTCCAAAAGGAAAAGGCTTCTGAGGACTAGAATTCATAAAAAACAACAAAGGCTGCATGATTTGATGAAAAGAGATAGTCCCTATTCAGGCTGAGATGCTCAGACCTACAGAGACGTTCCTTTGGCATGGTGTCTCTAAAGGATGGGGCTGAGCGCTGTGGCTGAGAGGCTGGAAGGATGTATTTCAGCCCTGCCTCTGTTCACAGCAAGCTTTTCACTCCAATTATCATGATTACTAATAATATCCATTGCCAGTATATGGGTGCTGATTACAGAACCCTGAGCTTCCCGAGCTCATTAATCCCCATAGCAACCCTATAAGGTGAGTACAATTATTCTCCCATTTTGAAAGTGAGGTGAAAGATCTTTTCCCTGCAGCCACATAGCTGGCAAAGTCAGTTCGTTGGGATTCCAAAGCTATTCTCCATTCTCCAGACCTCCATTCTGTTATCTCCTTGTCTCCACTCACAGACGAATTTAGAGAACACACGCGTACACACACACACACACACACACATATACACACACACACACACACACACACACACACACACACACACTGTATTTAACCCACAGAGAAATGAGATGCCATCCTGCCTTCCTGGATAGGCAGCAAGACACACGCACAGGGACTGTAGCACCTGAGACCACCATCCCTTCAATCACCACTGAATCCCAGAATTCAGAATGCAGCTGATGCTCAATGCGTAGTCCAGGAGGAATAATGTAAAAATGCATGGAAAAGAGAAGGAAGAGAGGGGATGGCAAGAAGAATCAAGGACACATCAGTTCATAAAATAAGTGAGCCAGACAGCCCTTACCATGCACAGGAAATGATGCCACACAAAGATTCGAGATGCCCTACCTTCCCCCAACCCCACACCTCTTCTCTCCCACAGACATTGACTTCCTGTTAGTAAATGCAAGAGGAGTATACATAACTAGTGGATTTTGTTTTAGAACAACATGTCATGTTCTTCCTCGAGAACCCCAGAACACGGTAATAGAACTACTTGGGGGCAGGAGGATTTAAAATATGGAAGCGTAAACTCAGAACTGCAAGAATGTCATCCTTCCGCCACCCCTCTCAAGGATCATGATGGAGTCTCACTCAAGTACCAAAAATACAACATGCTTACCAGGAGCAGGAGGAGGGGGCATGGTGGGAACAAGCTCACTCTTAGAGGCCTCACATTCTTTCAGTTTCGTCTTCAGAGCCAAGACTTGACGGCGAATACTAAGGACATTGTTTCTGTCTAGTGTTTCCAGCTTCTCTACCAGGAGAGTCATATTCCTTATCTAAGAAAATAAAAATTCAGAGTGACTTTATATTATTGTGCAATTTCTTTCATAAACATTCTGGGGCTGAATTTGTCATTTAGTGAAACATTGCTATAGAATACACCAGAGATTCTTCTGAATGGTTTCATTTGGAAGAATACATTTTATGGTTTAGAGTGAATGCCTGTCACATCTCAGGCAATGTGTGTGACAAGAAAAAAATGGCAAAGATTTTAACAGCTTTAATAATAGAGCATAGGCTCACTCTAGGCATTCACAAATGTCCATTAAAGTTCATTTCTAATAACCTCCCCCTATAAACCCGTGTTTACTCATGTTGTATTATAATTAAGTTTCTAATGAATGGTGAGGGCCAGAGAAAATGTAAATTCTAAAATATGTAACTGGAATTCTCAATTATAGCCCATGTCGTGACTGTATTAGTAAATTCTGGTTGATGTAAATTACCCAACTGTGACATTAACATGATGGTCTTCATCCACAGATCTTAAAAGACTTTACTAGAACATATTCACAAAAAAATTTCCTAAAGGAGGTTGCCAATATGTGGAGAAGAATTTCAAGAGGATTCAAGGAATAGGTAGCCATTCAAAAGGAAAAAGAAAAACTATCATATCCACGATCAGATAAAGTGTATATTTCTAGTCCCACAAGGATAAATCCAGAGCAGACACCTGACTTAACATGACCAAAGGCAGTTGCTCATTGGCATGCCATCTTTTTCTAAAGAACCTGAAAGGCCATTTGGTTCTAGGACAGAATTCTTAGCATTCAATATCTGATTCTCAGTCAGCATGTCCCCAATATGCTTAACTTATTATACAAGTACAGGCATTCATCCAAAACAGAATACGAGATGTGCCACATAGTCATGCACAGTAGCAGAATTGGGATTGGGGGAAGAGAGCTTTGCATCCAGGTCTGGCACTTGTTCAGTCACTGAGAAGAATGTATTATCAGTATAGTGAGAAGTCACTCCTTACCTCCACCTCCAGCTTGTCAATAATTACTGTGCTTCCAACAAAACTCCCCTTCAGCTGTGTGACCAGTTTATGCATCTCCTTCACCTCTAGCTTGATCAGCTCGAAGTCCAGCTCAGTGTAAGAAATACTGTCCTTCTCCATGACCTCTACTCGGACAGTCAGGTTTAGGAGCTTCTTCTCATAGATACTGAGCAATTGGATGTATTCCTTCACCTGAAGGAGAATCAAAAGACTCAGTCCAATTCCCAGAGGAATAGCAAATAGGATTCTGCTACGAAATGCTTGAAGACTACTTGATCCTTGTCAATCACTGTAAAGGAACAGTTTAAAAATACATACAACCTGGTTTTGAAAATTTTTTCCAAATGAGCCTATTACTATTGTTGGGGGTTTGTACTTTACCAACACTGAAGTTAATTTACTTGTGTATTTTAATCTGCATTGTACTGTCTGAAGACATGAGCTCCCCAGACAAAACTGGATGCAGTTGCCCCTCCTCTGAGTTCATTTGCTCTAAATCGGGGTTCCTCAGCCTCACCATTATTGACACTTTAGGCAGATTTCCTTCTTGAGGGATTGCTGTGCAGTGTACTATAGAAATATCAGCTATTCTCCAGTCATGACAACCAAATTGTCTCAAGATACTAGGAGATGTTCTCTAGGGACTAAATCACCACCGCTTTTGTTTAGAATCATTGCTCTCTCTAAATCTAAGTATTTTCCAGAAGAGGAAGAGTACATTGAATAGAATCCCTCTTTGTGGCTCATGTGCAATGAATTTTGGGCCTCTTTGCCTTTTTCAAAGTAGCATAATGACTCGTTTCTACACAATATGTGCATGTAGGCGCAACTGTAAAGTGCACATTTCATTAAGTGAGCTCACATTTATTCCAAGAACTGATTATTGCAATCAGACCTTTAAATTACACATTTGTTGCATATATTTGAATGTCTGATCATTAAGTTAAAATACTTCCAAAATTTCCCTTGGTGGTTTAGTGTATAATTGGAATCTCCAAATGGATATTTCAATAAACAGTTGGTGATACTTTATGTATCTCATCTCTAAAAGAAATGTCATGGCTTTTTCAAGAACCTGCTCATTAAAAGTTGCTGGTTTCACTTTCTTTTAGAAAAATATGAGTGTAAGCAATACTTCTCACCAAACTGCACTTATGTTGAGTAACTGATCCACAGTGCCTAGAAGGACCTGAAGTCCTTCTAATAGCAAGGGATCCTTAACTCCTGTCATTGTAGCCCTTCCATTTTACCCCACTATGCAAATTACAGTAGACTCATAGGCCATGGACGTAAAGGGCTAGGGATTCCGGCAAAGAGGACTCTAATGAAAGTTGGAACTACAGCCCTTGGCTCTGCTAGTGTGTCTCCTCAGGCAAACAGTGCTCACCACCATCAGGTGTGCCATCACTTGGAGACTGATAGGAATCATGATATTTTGGTGAATAGGTATTAAAAAAAAAGTGTAAGGGGAAGGTATATAAATCAAACAAGTCCCCTTTAAAAGTATACACACAGGCATAAGGTGCTCAAGTTTCAATTTCTGTAAAAGTTGACTGTAAAACCTTGCCTATGGTGAAAAAAAATAATAATAAAGTGCCAATCCACTGCATAAATAGGAGAAATGAGAAATGAGAGTGTTTGTTGGGATTTGGCCTTGCCAGCTCTTGGAAAATATGAAACAGCCTCAGCTTTCCTGGAACATTGTGGTGGCACGCTGCAGCTGTTGTTCTATACAAATGAGTAACACAACTGTCATCTCTGCTAAACAAAATGTGGTTCTCCATGATTCTCACAGAAAACTAATGCATGGCCTAGAATTGTGACCTGTGAGAATGTATATTGGCCTTGCTCGTGTGAAACTACAAAAGAGAAGGTCTCTGAATCTAGGAGGAAATTTTGAGAGGGTAATGCCTTCTGCTGACACTTGGAAGGAGGCTTACAGGTATTCAGGAAAACTGGAATTACCCACAGTTGTGGTAGGCAGGAGGAAATTTGAAGGTGGGCCAGAAAGAACTTTTCACTTGTATGGATCTTGTTCATGGAGTGACATGAGCAGCTCTGAGAACATGCTTGCTCTTCCTAGGTGGTTTAGGCTCAGTAGAGGCAGGCCTGTAGACCGAGAGATGAGTCCAGCCCCACATTGCTAGCATTTAGCGCCCTTAGCAGATTTCTCCCTCTTGGATTTAGAGCACTAGTTCTAAACAGAGGGAGGAGGCATTGGTGATGAGTTTGTCTCTAGAGAACAGTCAGTCATGTCTGGAGACATTTTGGTGGTCACAGCTGGGGTTTGAGTAGGTGTTACTGACATCTAGAGGCCAGGTATGCTATAAAATGCTCTAGCAAGTATATGGGTCTAACCTTGAGAGGACACATCAACATTTCTGTCCAATCTCATCACTACTGCAAATGTATAAGAAGACTCATGTATGCTCACCTTCAAATCACCAGGCTGACATTCACAGCTTCTGTTTTATTTTCTGTTACACACTTAACCATGCCATAGATGAAAAATCAAAATTTGTTTGGAGTTTATTAAAATAAACCAGTCATCTAAAGGGTGTCTGCTGTTGTTTTATACGAGGGTGGTCTTGTCATAAATAAGGAGATAGTGTGGCTGGTTATTAAGCTAAGGAATTAGTCTGATTCATAGTTCTGTCAGTTCCTCAAATTCTATAATCATAGCTATAGCTAGATTACTTGAAACAAGTAAAGGTGCTTTGCAACATACTGTTGTTTGCACCATGTTCTTAAAAGCAAATGTAATTAGGTTAATTGAGCCTGAAAATACCATCAAAACATGTAGTATTTGGTGCAAGACCTGCCTGAGCTCAAATCTAACTTCAGTACCTTGTGGGCAAATCACTTAATTTTTTCACTTTCCTTCCAAAACCAAAGATAATGATAGAAAAACTTACAAGATGGTTATAAAGACTAGAGATAATATACATTAAGGGCCTAGCTCAAGGACACCCTATAAATTCTAGGAATTAATAGAGAACTGGTGATTTCAGTGTTTTTCAATCTGACCTTTTAATTTATTTTTATTTCATTGCACGAAGCATTGCTCAATCAATGTTGTTTGTTTATAGGCTACCCAAATGTCTCCCAGGCTACCCCAACCATCTCATACATGAGAATCTATTAGCAAGTGTGTCATATTAAATAACTCACCCCTAAAACCAGGAGCCTTCAGAGAAAGGGAAAAAAACCCTAAGCTAACTTTTATGTTGTCTCCTTCCTAAGTATGACCACATAGGACATATCATAAGCAATAGAAAAGTCTAAAATGTCATCAGCACCTTCTGCAGAGGCAGCTTCCTGATTTCTCTGTGTACTGACAAACATCGAATCAATGTAAGACAGCCTTTCACCTGGGCTGCTCAGAATAGGCATACCTCCAGGGCCCTAGATAAATGGTGGTTTCCGAGGCAATCTGGCAACAGCCACAATAATTCACTTAGAAATTCACAATCTCTCAGCTAAATACATGATTTGGGATTTGAAGTGTTACTGACCCACTGCATCTCCTTGGGTGTGAGTATGATACCAGCCTGGTCAGAGGAAAGAGAGCTTGGTTGACCCCTGGGCCTAGCTAGCCACAGCAGCCAAAAGAGAAATGAGCTTAGGCAAGTCCCTTTACCTTAGGGAACCTTGGGTTTTCTATTCCTACAGTGGGAGGAAAGGTACCTGGCCTATCTCCTTTAAAGACTTGTCTGAGAAGAAAATAGCCCTAGAAGCATTTAGACAAACACAAATGAAGGTTGCCACTATTATCATTGTTATTATCACCTGCCATAGCAAATGGATCATGCGATCCTGCTTAAGGTAAACTCTTTTCCTAGGCCTCAGATTTTTTTTCAGAATTCCAACTTTTCTACCTATTCTGCCCCCTTTCCCTGCCAATTGCTAGCAAAGAAAAGCAGATGCAACCTGCACCCACCCCCATCCCCACCACTTGGCCACCTTGCAACCTTGGAGTTAAATATCCCACTTTCATAAACCTGGCAAGCCACATACTCTCCCTGGAGCAGCATGAGGTTTCAGACTGCCCTTCATTCTCCTGCCAGCAGATCAGTGGTTTCCACTATTTCAAAGCAAATGGCTCCAACTAAAAAGATCTTTACCTAGGATTTTCCTCTACTTGTTATGTTTTTATGCATAACTTCTTATCTTTACTTGATTATGCTCGAATAAGGCCATGAATATTGATGGTCAGAATTTATAATTTAATGCTGTGCCTTTTCTACTGATTAATTCAAGGACATTTTATTTCTTAAGAATCTAGGTTCCTAGAGTAGTCAAACACATTTTCCTGGATATTCATTTTAACTTAGAATATTTATCTACCAATTCAGGTTGAAAGTAGGGTCTCAGCCTCACCATAATTTTTGTCTTAAAGGATAACTATGTTGGATGTTGAGGTGGCTAAGCTTAAACTGCTCAGGAAAACTTATTTGAAACCCTGCAGTAAAGTCAGAACTCCTTGTAAATTAATGGGGTTGTATTAAATAATGCATAATGTGATTATATTCTAGCCTGGACTTCACCTGGGCAGAAAATAGGAGCCTTTCTAATTGATTTGTAGCTTGTCTAAAAAGCTGGAAGGAATCAAAATTGGAACAAGTCACACTGGTCCAGCAGGCTTGGAGAAAGGCAGACCCTTGAGAATAACTTCTCTGGCTGCACGGAAGCTGGAATCAGGAGGTTCTAGTTAGGGTTTTCCCCAAGGCTGAGAAACCTTTTAATCTCTCAAATTCCCAAAGAAGCTTTCAATTTTGGTCTCATGCTAGACACGTGGAATGAAATGCTCTTTTGTAACAATAAAAAATAGCTACAAAGGAAGAGAGGGAAAAAAGAGGGCACAAATTGCACCATTTGAATATATGCACCATTTAAAAAGGAGAGAAAGGCAAAGGGAGGAGGAAGAAAGGCAGAAGGGAGAGTAGGAGGGAGAGGATGTGAAGGAGGAGCGAGGGGGAAAAGAGGAGATAAAGGAAAGGACCCTCTAAAAGTGAGAAAATTCAGAAAGAGCACAAAAATAAAAAGAATCAATAAGGGAAGTTTAGAAAAATGGACGAGAGCTAGAATTGAGGAAGAGGAGGCTACATTAAGAAGAAGCAAAGGCCGAAGGGAAGAAGAAACTACAGGGCAAAGTAAAACTTGCAGGGTGCAAGGTCTCTTCCTATCACAAGAGGCCCACAGTCCCGACATGAGTCTTTCCCTGCCAAGCGTGGGTCTTACTTTCTCTATGGGCTCTCACTTTTCCCTACTATGAGGAACTCAGACGTTTATTGTAAATCCACAAACTGTTTGAAAAGAAAACACTTACTTTAGAAAACTCTTTCTCAAACTTCTGAGAAAGGATGTGAGCTGTGAATTCCAAGCGCTCCACTCTGTCGGCAGGAAAGGTAGCATCTGGCAAGGAAATGGAGCACTGGCAGGTCCCTTGGCCATCCACAGAACCAGAGAAATTGGAAAATGACTGTAAATAACAATAAGGTGAACATCAGTCATAAGCTGGGAAATGAGCTGCTTTGGCAACAGGAATAACAGAAATTGGCCTATCAAAAGAGTGCTGGGAGGCAAGGAAGTGGAGACCAATGCATCAATGAATAGCACCATAGACACAAGACAAGCCCCAGCTCCACTTGTTGACTAAGCCACTCCATCAGCAGGCTTGAGGACTCTTAGAGGAAATCATTGTTGCCGCTCCACAAAAAACGGGGAAATAAAGAGGTGACAAGAGTGCCAAGTATGAACACCAGTTCTGCCCCTTACTGAATATGACACCTCCTTATGTCTGTTTCGCCCTCTGTAAAACTGAGATACCCCAATCACAGGTCCTGAGCACAGGTTTTGTCCTCAAGAGTAACCACAGATTGTGAGCGGAAACCGGGCACAGGGCCGGTGATCAGTTACTGTCACTTCGTCTTTTCTCCTGTTAATCTTTTTTCCCTCACTTCTGCCTCAATCCTAGTCCATTCTTCCCAGTTATAATAGGGAAACCATGACAGCTGTGGGCCATGGTGAAAATATCTAATGCAAATTCAAATCCTCTCTTCAGCTGGGAAATTACAAATTTGACATTTTTTTTTCAAATGGAAACAAGCCATCTATTTGTTCAAACACTGAGCAGTAGATGAGTTGAAGATTTTGTGCAAATTTCTTAAATAAAAGTTCTCCAGCTTACCATTTGCAAAAAAAAAAAAAGTCATTTTAAAATGTTTGATGTTTCTTTAAGATATTCAGGCTCACACTTCGATGCCACAGCATATTTTAAAATGACAGGTTTGAAAGATTCTGTTTTTCTTTTGTCCCCTTTGAACTGCCCCAAGGGGATCCTGGCACAATTAACTTTTTTTTTTTACTGCTATTGCCTTGTAGAGCAACTCTTGGCAGCCGACTGGATGTGCCTTTTAATGATCTCATCTGAAGGCCAACCCAAAGCTCACCTGTGGAGCATCAGCCTGAAGGGACACTTTATGAAGCTGAGGAGGAGAAAGCAGTAGCTTTCAGAGTCTGGAGAGATTGGGGCCATGTCTCAAAGTTCAAATCAGCTGGTTATAGCTGAGTTTGTGTACTACACAAGAACTGATCTCCACAACCCCTGAACAAGCTTGGCCTAGATGCTCCTGTAACCAAGACTTAGCCCATTAGTGACTTCTGAGCCAATTAAGGCTCTTGCAATAGTTGTTTGTTGTTATTGTTGTTGCTGTTGTTTTTTGTCGAGCCTAAGCTTCTTTAAGATGATGAAAATAAAGTGTGTGTGTGTGTGTGTGTGTGTGTGTGTGTGTGTGTGTACTAAAACTCTCTATGCCAGGGAAATTCTTGTGTGTGTGAGTGAATGTGTGCACAAACATGCACATATATGTGTACATGGATGTAGAGGCCAGAGGACAACTTTGGGCGCCATTCCTCAAACGGGGTCTCTCTTTGGCCTGGAACTCACCAAGTAGGCTAGGCTGGTTGGCTGGCTGGTGAGCCCCGGATATCCTCTGTCTCTGCCTCCCCAGCACTGGGATAACAAGTGCACATCACCACATCACCATGTCTAGAATTTTAAAGAGGGTTCTGGGGAATCGAACTCAGGTCCTCATGCTTACAAGCACTATACCAACTGAGCTGTTTCCCCAGGCCTTCATTCCAGGAAAATTTTTTTAATTACCCTTTCTTTTCCAACTGCACCCCTCTAGCTACAGGAACTGGGGAGTAAGGAGAAGGGGAGAGCAGGTTTATGCTGCACATGAGAGTAAGGAGTTAGGGTGGGGAGGGGCAGAGTCTTTGCAAAGGATGAATAAGGACTGGGCAATATATACCAGAAGCCTATCAGAGACTTTGACCTCTCTTGGACCCAGTTCTATTACCCTAAAGCTAGAACAACTCCAGTACAGGTGTGCCAAGTGTTTTAAACAAAGCACCCATGTATCACAGGCTTTTGAAGAAATACCTTATTATAACTGTCTAGCAAAGAAAAAAAGAAAAATATCATACATTGCAATTGACAAGGGGAGGTTAATTAGCTTCACAAGACAGGGTTGGACCATTCTTAGAGTCTCTAGACAATCAACTAGGAACCACTGGCTAACAACTTTTAGTCCTGAAGTTCACCTGAAAGACAGGAAAATAAACATAAGCCCTGCTGACAACCATTCCACTGGCTTCTATTGAACATCTCTGTCCCAATGCTGTGGACTCCCAGCTTCCATCCTACTTACCATCAGCCCAGCATGCTCAGCTGACATCAAAATGGTCCATAAGTTTGATCAGTGTTTCCCATTAGAGATATTTCTGCTCCTTGAATTCAAAGACAATGAAGCTAATGGTGATGAGTCTTTCTCTGCAGTGAATGCTTAAACTACATGAATGAGATGTGGGGAATGGGAGGCAAAGACAAGAGCTGTCCCCTTGGCCTTTGGAAGGATATGTGATCCCTTGTGGAGGGCAACTAGAACCCCACAAAATGCACTGTACTGATAAGTTCTCACTATGTGTTCAATTAGCATGTACTGATGTCTATAGTATGCCACACTCTGGCATTATGAGATGATTAAGACAAATTCTTGAATCAGGCCCCTTGTCATTACAAATATACTCTCGGCTCTTTTCAGCCATCCTGGTAACAAAAGCACAATACCTATGGTGGTTCCAACTCTGCCAGTAAGTGTGTGGAGCATTCCCCATATCTGTGAATGAAGGACTGGAGGTAGCCCTTTTTGGAGGCATACACAGCCCTCCCAGCAGACAGTGTGACTCATATTTGTGATTTAAGGTCACAATTGGCTGTAATTAGTAGCCAAGTCTAAGTGCCCACAAAGATTCACGACATAAAATAATGGTACTCAACGTTTCAAAAGTACAGAAAATGATACGTTTGGAATTTGCTCAATGACAGTTATAAAAGGGTTTTCCACTACTTTCCAACAAGCTCATCAAGCTGACAGCCAGCCCCAGAAAATTAGGTTTATAGTGGAATTGACACCTGGTCCACTATAAAAAGGAGGTTGGAGTTGTGACACTGACTGACCACAAGCAGATAAATAAACCAGGAAGGAAACTGAAGCCTCTGAGTATGATTTAACAACCCCATTTCTTATCTCCTTTTAAATATTTGTCTTCTTACTAGAAAATGGGAATTTTGAATTCCTCTGATCCTCGGCCAGTATTTTATTTTCTATTATTTCACTTGGTGATATTATATTCAGATACTGGCTTTTTGATTGGTGGTAAAGTTTAAATTATTATTGTTAACTTCAGACCTCCCCAAAAGGTAACCAATTCTGATTGCCTCTAGAAATTGCTTGAAATCCTGAGATAAAATTAGGCATGGACTTTCTAGCTACCAAACACTTGAGCATGATTATGATTCTCCAAACTTTATCCTATATAAAGATATTTTCTCTGTATTCCCTGGAAGTCTAGAAAGCTGCATATAGAGAGTTTCTACAACAGGCTCCTTGGAAATGGGTTAAAATTTGAATGAAATAACTAAATTGGCATGAGCAGACTGATTTGGGGACATACACTTTCTGGTTTAGTGACTTTAAGCCAATGACATCACTATAATAAGCCTCAGTTTTAACATCTCTAAAATGGAATCATTAATTTTATCTAACTCTTGGGGTTAAGTAAAATTAACCTAGTCTTAATATTACTTTGGTATTCAGTGAATATTATTGCTGTTGTTTCCTCTAAGTCCCATCAAAACCATTTGCTGATCACATTTTCATTGTGTACACATCTTTTTTTTTTAATGTGTATATAAATGTTTGTCTGCATGTATGTAAGTGCAACCCATGTCATGCAATACCTGTGGAGGTCAGAAGAGGGCATCATATCCCCTAAAACTGGAGTTACAGACAGTTGTTAGCTGCCACATAGGTGCTGGGAACTGAACCCAGGTCCTCTGCAAAAGTAACCAGTGTTTTTAACCTCTGAGCCACCTCTCTAGCCTGTCTATACATATTCTTAATGGTGCCAATATAAACACTAAACAGAAGTTTCTCCCTCCCTTTTCTTATTCACCTTTCCACTCATACAGGCTCATTTAAGTGGTTAGCTGATCTGAGTACAGTTCCTAGTAATGTTGAAGGAGGAGCTTCAATGGGTTTTGAAGGAGCCCTCAAGCCAAAGTCACCCTGCAACAAGGCTTGCCTGGAAGGTTTTGCAGAGCAGGGCTCCTGCAGAAGGGTTCTGAGGTAAAGTCCAAAACTGCTCCCTGCCCCTCAACCTGCAGCCCCTCCATGTTTCTTCTTACTTCTTAAGGAGAACCAAAGAGTTCTCATTCCCCAAGGAACTAGGCAGTCTGTGTCTTATACATAGGCCTGTCTCTTGTAGTACATGGTACCTTTGTTGGCTTGTTCCATTGCTGCAGCTGTTTCGCACTGGAACTGGCCCCAGAGATTCCATATAAAAGAGATTGAAAAGAGTTATCAGTCTCTAGGTAATTTTCATATAGACTGGCATTTTCCTAAGTCCTTTCCTTGTTACCCATGTTCTGGGTGTTTGTTATGTGTATGTGTTTAAGTATGTACACATGTGCATATGAGTGCACATGCATGTGTGTGCAGAGGTTAATGCGTATCTTTCTCTGTTGCTCTCCACCTCATGTTATTTTTCAGACAGGGTCTGTCACTGAACCTGGAGCTCACAAATCAGCTAGGCTGGTTGGCTATTGAGCCCCAGGGACATTTCTGTCTCCACCCATGTCCCAGTGTTGGGGTTACAGGTACATGGTGCCTCACCTGGATTTTTTTGTTTTGGAGACAGGGTCTCTCTATAGCCCCAGCTGGATTAGAACTCTTTATCTAGACCACACTGGCCTCACAGAGACCCATCTGCCTCTGCCTCCTGGGTGCTGGGATTAAAGATGTTCACCCCACACCCTGCTCACCTGGCTTTTCGTGTGGGTGTTAGGGATACAAACTCAGGTCCTCACGCTTGTGGTGTAAGCACTTACCTACTCAGTCCCATTCCCCAACTTCTTTGTAAAGTGAGTACAGAGAAACTGCCAGGGATCCACCTGGCACATAGAGACTCTTCCTCCCTTAAAGTCTATGGTTTACCCTCCAAAGTCTCCTGAGCAGCCAGTCAGTTGGACAAATTTTGCTGAAGCTGGTACTTGCATATTTGCAAGGTCCCTTTTCTAAAAGTTCCCATTCCAGACTACATATTAAAACTGACCAGGGAGAACTTTTTTATATGCCTGATTATTAAACATCTGTGAATCCAAGCATCTGGATTTTTAGACTTCCCCTCACCGATGATCCTAATGTGCAGCCTGGACTGAGAACCTCTTTAAAGCATGTCTTCCCCAAAACGCCTCAACTAGAAAACTGGGATGTTGTCTCTTGCTAACAATTTAATTATTTCACCTAGGTTTTAATTCATTTCCAGGGCATCTACGGTGAACGAAAAGAGTCATAAATCTTTTAGAGTGCTCAGGTCTAGCCATCCGTGAAATTGTATTCAGGTCCCCAAAAAAGCAAGTGAAAGGAAATGAACATAGCTCACTCAGACTCTGCAACCACCTCACCTGGGACACAGCATCGCCTTCTGTCCAGGATGTGGCCCCTGGAGCCAGCCAGGGAGTTGTAGCCTGAGGTGAAGCTGAAACTGTGGTCACATTCAGGGAAGAGTCAGTGGTGAGAAGCTCGAAAGATCCGCTGACAGAACCTAGGAGAAACAAAAGGGCCAGTAGGAAGGCAAGGCCACACTTCATCTCGCTTTCTTGACTAAGATGCTGGCTTCTTCCCAGAGCCCAGGGGCTTCTTATAGTGCCCAGTGGGGATTTCCCCATGGCCAGTATGTGAGGAAAGAGGAAGCAGCCAGGGAGCCTATGACCCACCCCAAGAGAGTCAGGATACAGCCTGAATCCTATCCACGCCTTGCCACTGAGCCCTACTCTGTGACCTACCCTTAGATACAGATTTTCTCCCTGCCAAATATTAACTCAAAGGAGCTCTCTCAAGCCCAATATCCAGTTTCCAACTTGGTACTTCTTTGAAAGTGACGGGATCAAAGTCGTCTTTGTGGATGAGACAGTTTGGGAGTTCCAAAAGGGACAAACAGTCCTTGGTTCATTATCTATAAATGACATCTAGGTGATAACTTCCATTTTCTGAATGCTGCTTTCTAGAGAGTTCAGAGAGAGAGAGAAAGGGTTCACTTTAGAGACTGATTCTCCCCAAGATATGTCTGAAGTCTTCCCCTTCAGAAACTACTGCCCAGGCTATCTCTGACCTGCCCCTTACAGCGTTTGTCTCTATGCCAAGTTCTCTCAACAACCCCACTCTGAAGACAAGACCAGAGAGACTTTGTTCTCTGGAAATCTATACAGAACTCCGCACTCTGTGCTACTACAGGGAAAGCGAGAACCCAAGAAAACAAGGGGACACAGATGACCCACTGATTGTTTCTCTAGGCGGTGTGTTGCTCTTGACCCAGCCAAGGAGTCCCAAGGGAAACAGTTTCTCTCTCCCGCAGTCTGCCTGACCTCCTTTGCCCACTACTCTGTGTGAGCTGGCCAGATTTTCAAGGCTCAAGGCTCACTCTTCATTGAAGGAGAACTGCTAGCATGCATTCTCTGTCACACAAGTGCCCTGGGCTTCAGGCTCCCTTTGCATCTTGCCAACACTGTCCACACCTTTGTGACCTCAGTTTTCCTCCCTACAGAGTGAAAACTCAATGGCCTGAATATTAAAACCCAGCTCTGCCACTCAGAAGTCAGTGGCCTTGGGCATGTCACTTAGCCTCTCTGGAGTTAAAATAATTCCTAACTTATTAGAACTCAGTGAGATGGCATTTTGAAAGTTGCTTATATATTTTAAAGTGCTATACAAATGTCAAGGGTTTTTGTTTTCTTTTGTGTTTAATTTCCAAAAGCCTAGATCATTATGTAAGGTTATGGAGTTTCAAACAAGAAAAACAGGCTCAGACTCCACTCTGTTTTTACCCCTTCCTAGGAGCATTTGGAAGATCTGGTCTGTAGGATTCTTTCATAGCTTAACCTCATAAGCTCCACAAACGCTCCAAGTCAACATGGCTAGTGTGAGAAATCGAGTCTTAAACCCTTGGTACACTATTCAAGGGAAGGGATAAGCAAGAGGAATGGGAAGTAAAGGAGAGAGAAGAGGTCAGGAAAAGGATAAAACAAAGGCAAATCTATTCCTTCTGAGTACCCCAAGTCCCTTTTGGAGTGCATCCTGGTCCAGAACCCCATACTACCCCAGACTCAAGGGAGCTAAACAAATACACATCAGACCAGTCGTCTCCCCAACTTCAGGGTCAGCATTGGCTCACCATCTGGGCTGACGGTGCTGCCTCTGTCCACACTCCACATTAAAACATGTTTATTGAGTCAACCAAAGGAAGATAGGAACATGAGTGTCCACCTACTGCTCCAAAGGAAATCTGTGAAGATCAAGGTCAAAGACAAATGACCGAGCTGTTAGAAGATTAAGAAACGCACTTTAAACCTACATCTCTCTTACTGTTCCCTGTGCTCAGTTTCAATGTGAAAGTCCAATAAGCAACAAATTAGTTTTAACATAAGTAGGTCCTGTGCATATTTGGGATGTATTTACAGTCAAATAAATGCTGTCAATTTAGCATTCAAATTGAACTAGAGTTCTTGCTTTTTTCCTGGGAACTCTATTGAAGCAGACTGTGGGCTATGAAATGCATTGTTCCCTATTGGATGCAATTCAGCCCTGGCTTCTTTGACAAAATGTTCTAAGTCTCTTCAATGCTCAGCCCAAGACAGGGCATGTATGGGAATGAAAACTGGCACACCGAATCCATTATTCTAAGACTGAATGCTATGAATATGGATGTAGAGAAGAGAGCCTATCTCTACCTCCCATCTCAAGTCCCCTCTTCTTCCTGATTCCTACCAAAACAAAGGGTAAAATTTGCTCTCCTTTGCTGGTAGCCTCTGCCTGTGACTATAATGAGCTTTCCTTGTCCCTTTTTTCAAAAAGCATGTTGGTTCCCTTGTCAGAAAAAAAAATCTCATTAACAATGGTTGCCTGTTGTCATGGCTACCTTTGAAGGCTGCTCTGGTGAATCCTCTAGAAGACCCCTTACCAGAGGGGTTACAACCTGCAGAAATGGGGCAGCCGTTCTCCCCAAGACAGAGGTAACTTAACCAGAAGAAGCATCACCTCACTGTGCTTATAAGCTGCTTTGTTCCCACATGCCTTCGTAGTTTTCAAACTTTAATCTATTTGGTAGCCTCAATGCACAAAAGCATCTGTGATGGCTCCATTATGAGATTAATAATAACAATAGTTTGATCAGTTCCTCTGTAAATACCTTTGTTCTAAGAAACAATAAGCCTCTTGTTATTTGACAACCTCAAAGACACGAGAAAATTATCAGGGCTGCAAAGCAAACATTGTTTTATTTATAAAAATGTATTCCAACCTTAGGTTCCCTTTAGAATAAGGGGTCACTGAAATTCACTTGACTAACAGAGTATTCCTCACTGACAGCTTGAAAGTTACTCTTTATGTACCTCTTAGGGAACTCCCCAAAGCTCCACTTCCTGAGCAGGTGCGACACACAAGGAAGGGGACCACATAGATATCACTTTATTTAATCCTTCTGTCATTAAAACCAATGCCAAACATACAGTGGTGTTTTCAGAAGAGAGTAAATATAGGGTATCTAATGTGTTCAAGAACAATAGATACAAGGTTTAGCCTACAGATTGACAATGGAGGCTGCATTGAAATGATCCTTTTCTCATCAGTTATTCATGTCCTTAGCAATCCTCAAATTTTTGTTAGCAATACCAGTAACCATGGATAAAAATAAAAGCCAATTGATAGCATTCATTCATTCTGAAAAGCGGTCCTTTGTTAATAAGTGTAACAGAGCCAGCTCTGCAGAATAACAGACCCTATCATGAGTTATAACAAAAGTTAGAAATTATTTTAATTCCAGTTCTGGGAAGGTGGAGACAGGTGAATCTTTGGGGTTCACCGGCCAGCCAGCCTAGCCTACTTGGCTAGTTCCAGGCCAGTAGGAGAACTTGTCTTGGAAAAAAATGTAGACAACACCTGAGGAATGACATCAGAGGATGTCCACTGATTTCCACATGCATGTGTACACACATACACATGTACCTGCACACACATGAACACACACACACCCTAACACACCAGAAGGAAGGAAGGAAGGAAGGAAGGAAGGAAGGAAGGAAGGAAGGAAGGAAGGAAGGAAGGAAGGAAGGCAAAAATCTAACCATGGTGACCTTGTCCAGGTGGATTAACTAAGAAGAACTGACCAGATGGTGAATGTCTGGAGGAAGGAGACTATGTTTTTCTCTGTTGTAAATTTCCAGCACCCAGTCCAGTGTCTAGCACTGGATGACCATGGTGCATACTGAGGAAAATACTGAGTGGATGGGTAGATGAATGAATGAATGAATGAATGAGTGAGTGAATGAATGAATGAATGAATGGATTTATTTAATAAGAATTATGAAAGAAATTCATAAATACCTACTGGAGAAAGTACACATTGTTTAAATTAGTGTTGGAGAAAAGGAGGTGAGTTCCAAGCAAGAAAAATTATATGAGTAGAAGAATCAGGCAATCTGAATTCTTTTCAGGGTCAGCATTATATCCATGTCTTGAAATCTTATTCAGTCAGCCCTCACAATTCATCCTTAGATCAGAGCTCCTAGTCATTATTCCTCAGGCTGACTCAAACCCCCTAAATCAAGATTCCTAAGCACTTCCTGTGTCAGGAACTACTTAAACTCAGCCATCTCATCATAATGTAGACTATACAGACCACAGATAACAGATTTCAACCAAATACATATGTTTTCTAAACATAGCAAAATAATCAAATTGACAAAATGCAGAACCAAACTAGTAAAAAAAAATTTTTTTAAAAAGGTGGTGGGGGGGGTAATGGAAACCAGTGCAAAATTCTGTGCAGTTACCAAAAGGGAACAACAGGAGTGTTGAAAGGTAAAATGTTAGTATTTGGGGAAAAGAGGAACTTCACATCCTCCACAGAGGAAGTTCACACTGAGGTATAATGTATGCAGAAGTGTTTCAGTCAAGAAACATCTACTACCACCTCCAAGGGCTCACTGAGGACATGTCACATCTCAGGCTTATCTCTGCACCCCAAGAGATGGAACCTCCTGAGATCCAGAAAGCCCCCAAATTCCTCTTTATCACTGAGTTGTTCTTCAGTGACCAGGCTAGTTGGCTTCTCTGACTAGACATGAAATATTTTCTATTCTTGCTTACTTGCTCCATTGCTAAAGCTATGCTTGCTTAACATCCAAACCACCTAAGTAATAACATTTGTGTTCTTAGCAAGACTCGTTTTCTCCATAGTTGGTTGTGCATGTCTAACCACACACACCTCTCACTGTAAGAAAGATACAAACTTTTGCTGGATCCACAAAATCTTGCCCCTAGAGATTCAAAATTTAGCTTCTTTAGCATCTGCAGATTTGGTGATGCTTTGCTAATCAGATTTCCCTTGTTATAACAAAATATTTGAGATCATTATTATAAAGAGGAAAGGTTTATTTTGGCTCATGGTTTCAAAAGTTTCAGTCCACAGTCACTTGACCCTATCGATTTTGGGCCTGTTGTGAGGCAGCACACCATGGCAGGGAGTACATACGTGTGCAAGCTGCTCACCGCCACAAGCACTGGAAAAAGAAACTGTTGTCCTGCGATATCTTTTGAGGGCACACAGTCCCAATAACCTAAAAGCTCTCATTAGGCTTCATCAAAGTTTCCAGCACCTTCCCAAAGCTCCAAG